TGGGTTAGTAAAATTATTTTCCGTTTTATCATTAAGAAATTCATTCCAAGCGTTTGCGGTATCGTTCATTTGTATAAATTTTGTAACAATATAAGCCAAACCACCCTTAAAACTCATAAGGGAACCTCTCCAATCGTTACTCCAAAGTTCCCAGCCATGATTAAGATTATGCAATCTTACAAAAAGATTGTCTTTCTGTAAGAATTTAAATGGATTGAATGGTTGATGAGTTTTTTTAACTAAATCATCGCTGACTTCTTTAACAGTTCTTTGTCCGCTGTACGGAACACCTAGACCATGGTTTGCTCCTTTAATGCGCCAATCTTTACTCGTAGAAATATTAAATTCATTACAAATACGCTCATACGCGGACCTATCATAATTATTATTTGTGGAATTCCACGCTCGATCCTGCGGTAATGGAGCACTAATTTCTTTAAGTATACGTCTAATCTGATAATACACATGAAATAATAAAACAGACTTATTTAGCATAAATCCTGGGGCATTAACAGATACGCCACATCCCGTTGTGGCACACCATATGGCAAAGTTTAACTGATTCTGCCAAAATTGCATCGGATTGTGAAACCAATCGTGCACCATTTTATCGCTAGTTGCCGTGACCCTGTAATTTTCAAAGATATCTGGGAATTTAACGAAAAATTCAGCACCAGAGGCAGTTACTATAATCGATTGATTAGTAATGTATCTCGATTTCATATTTAAGTTATGATATAGTATCATTGTATATTTAATATGTATGTTACACTACCTGGAATAACAAATGGTCAGTCTATTGAACTGCTTCATACTATCGATAACTCGGATGGACAACTCGAAGTCGCTCTATGTGATGTAACGTATTACCCACTGTGGACCAATATAAATGCTATAAAAAGAAATAATGAGTTGTCTATAACAGATAAACAAAATATTATTGAAAAAAACATTAAAATACCTGATGGGTATTACAGTATATGCTCACTCAATGATAATTTTTTTAAGCCTAATGGAATTAGTATCACACAAAATGAGTCGAATGGGATAGTGAAAATCAGCACTGGAGAAAAAGGTATGTGGATTCATGAGAACTTAGCAATTACGCTTGGATTTACACAGGTAGAAAGATCAAGAAACTTTATATTATCAATATTCAGGACAACATCTGATGGAGATGCATTACCCGATTTAGTTCCCTATAAAGAGTTGTTCATCCATCTTGATCAAATAAGCACGACGGATAATATTCAACTAGAAAGTCCTTCAACTCTGCTCAGAAGTGTTCCAGTGAAAAATGAAAAATACAATAGCGGTAGAACGGAATCTTTCTCGTCATTACAATATAAAAAATTGAAGCGTGGTATTATTTCAGACCTCAAAATTTCTATATTAGATGTAAAACATCAACCTGTACATATAGGATACTTAAGTGTAACGCTCCATATTAAAAATAATGGTTGATGCCATATTTAAGTTATGATATAGTATCATTGTATATTTGATATGTATGTTACACTCCCGGGAATAACAAATGGTCAGTCTATTCAACTGCTTCGTACTATCGATAACTCGGATGGACAACTCGAAGTCGCACTATGCGATGTAACGTATTACCCACTGTGGACCAATATAAGTGCTGCGAAAATTAATAATAGGATACATATATTAGATAAAGATGCTCCTGACAAATACATTACTATACCTGATGGGTATTACAGCGTATGCTCACTCAATGATGAAATTTTTAAGCCTAATGGAATTAGTCTCTCACAAAATGAATCGAATGGGATGCTTAAAATCGACACTGGAGAAAATGGTGTAATTCTTATCCCATACTTAGGAATTACACTTGGATTTGAGCTTAAAATTATAAGTTCTAACGAAACACAACATGGAAATACATTGCCCGATTTAGTTCCCTATAAAGAGTTGTGCATCCATCTTGATCAAATCAGTACGACAGATAATATCCAACAAAAAAGTCCTTCAACTCTGCTCAGAAGTGTTCCAGTTAAAAATGAAAAATATAATAGCGGTAGAACGGAATCTTTCTCGTCATTACAATATAAAAAATTGAAGCGTGGTATTATTTCAGACCTCAAAATTTCTATATTAGATGTAAAACATCAACCTGTACATATAGGATACTTAAGCGTAACACTCCATATTAAAAATAATGGTTGATGCATCAGGCCCTGGAACAGTAAGACAATGTAATACAATTGCGCTTTCCGATCTCGGAGACACAGAAGGATTTGATAAACCCGGTACCGATGGTAAGTTATACGCTTTACACTTACACGATAATGTATACAATCGGAAAGAAGTCACATTCACGGGTAATCTAGGAGATTTAAGCGATGTCGATGTTAGTAGACTCCTTAAAAACACTTCGTACAATATTACTCGCAACGACGATAATAAATGGACTATGGTTGAAGCAAACATCGAGTGGCTACTGAATATCGTCATTATCCCACCTTATGTGATGATGGGTAAGGGACATAATTTAACTAAGATAATAAATAGTGGCATCGTACTCGCGGCTTATATCCCGTCAAAACGAAAAAGTGTGTTGGTTACTCCCCTGCCAGAAAACCCAGGTCATATGTTATATAGTCGTCCGTCCTTAAAAAACATTAGTTTAAATTTGGTAACTGAATTCGAAGATATTAAAGTTAACCTGAGTGCAATACCTAATATTTCTACGCTTATTATTGAAGTCTTGTTCGGAGATGTACCGGTAGATGCCTTCGAAATATTACCAGGTCTATCGATTAAATGGCTCAAGAAACACGAGCGTCAACGTTGCAGTATTATTCATATCGGAGCATCGCCCGTTGCAACCCTCGAGGGGGTCCAAATTATTAAAAGTGGTAGTATTTCTCTTTCTAAGATATTATTGCCGTATAATATACATTTAATAAGGTTGATGTATAGTCTCAAAACATTTAAGCAAGACCAATTAAAGACTATTATATGATTGTTATATACACTATGAGTTTATATCCGGCGCTCAATGAAGCATTTGAAAAGATGGAAACTGTTGATGGATTTCGATTACATCAAATAAGCGACATAAAACATCGAATAGGGAAGGATAGGGAGTTGAGACTTGGATTGTATAAAAAGTATCGCAGAGCCGTGAATGCTCTGGACGGAGTTGACACCGCTCTTGTAGTATCTGGCATGGGACTCGGTGTAGCGGGTATCGGTTTACTATCAACTATAATCGCCGCGCCTATCGTGCTAGGCATGGAAATAGCCGCTGGAGTCTCGGGACTGGCAGGAATAGCGATAAAATTCATTTCTCGTGGGTTACAAAAGAAAGCATTAAAACACGATAATATTCGGATACTCGCCGAAGCAAAGTTGAACAGCATCGAGGATCATATTTCGACAGCAATGGCCGATTGTAAGATATCCGAGGATGAGTTTCGTTTAGTGCTGTCGGAACTCAACAAATACAATAAAATGAAGCAGGAGATTCGATCAAAATCTCGTAAGACCAGTGGTATTAGCGAAGACGAGAAAAAAAAGTTCATAGAAGAGGGGAGGCAACAAGCGCGTCAATTATTCCGTGCCAAAACCAAAGAACTGGTTGGAGATTAAAAATAGATTGCTTACTATCGTTTGATCACATTTAGACAATTGCTTACATAAATATATAATAATGGAGAAAGCTATTCAATGGAAAGAATTACCACAAGGTTTTTATTATATCAGTGATGTCAAACCAACCAAATACGGTTATCAATTGTTTCTTATCAATTTACAAAAAGAGTGTAGTTATATAGTCTGGTCTCCTAGTAAAATGAACGAAGAACTTAATAAAAAATGTTGAACATCGCTTTATCGATAAAAATAATGAAGAATATTTTTATTACCATTTAGACTCATCTAAAGCAATGATTGGCCCCAGGTATTGGTGAGCTAGAGCCAATTTAACTTAATCTTATGACTATCATTAAATCGCATCATCATTTTGGCATAAAAAATTCCATCTGTAGTAGCAGTATAGGTATATAAATCCAGCTCCAGTGGAGTTGCGGCAGAACCATCATTACCTATACTACTCATGGTCCAATCAAAATCGTGTAACGAAATCGACATCCGGTTGGCAAAATGTCGTGCAGATTTCCATCGATTGCAGGATTTGCAAAGCATCTGTACCGTCAATTTAGCGTCAACATATATATTCCAAATCTTTTCATGTTTTTAATCAAGGTGCTCACATGATTTGATTACTAATAAAGATCTTGATTATCCATCATATTGTCTTGACTGGGCACCGCCATTTTGTTTGAAGCAAATGCAATCGATATGAGAGGTGGAATGTGATTGGTCAATAGGAGGGACATACAAAGGACATAACTCATAATAGACACTTGTGGTGCTAAGCTCAAGCTCAGAAAATCCAGCCTAGTTCGGCAAGGGTGGAAACTGGACCTTCACAGTCAGTTAACTCCCTTGCCTCTAGAAGATGGTAAATGGATCGAGTCGTCACTGTGTGACTTGGCTGATTGCATGTCAATGTACATTGATGACTTTGGATAGTGCACTTTGTATCAATCACTGGTTTATCTGGTCTAGATTCCATTATTTACAGGCTACTCTGATACAGCTGAAATATTGCTGACTGGCGTTAAACAACATAAAATCATTAAAGCTTAACAGTGAAGTTCATATGTACACGCTCTCTCCTTTGTCTGTCTGAACAATTTGTTTTCTTCTACTCTTATCTAGTAGTTCAGCCGTGAACATAGAGGTTAGAACTGGTCTTCAGCAACTCATGCTTGTCCTAAAAGGCGACTAATGGATTCATGCATTTCTCATATTCTTGTATGACTTCATTATTTACAGACCACTGTCATACAGCTGGCATATTGCTGAGTATGGCGTTAGACAACAAACAAACCAAAAAGCGTATCTAGTTCAAGTTTCATGCTGTCATTTGGGTTAACAGCTTAAATAAAATGTCATCATTTGTGTTTCAGAAACAACAGTCTTGTCTCAACACTCCCTAAAGTATGGGAGGTTTTTCCAACAGTGCGCCATGTTTTAGAAGCCCTGACAGTTAACACGAGCTCATGTTAATATATAGGAATTTTAACTGTTTTAACTTTTATATGCATTCCAGCATCGAACACGCCCCTTGATATATGCACAACAGTCCCTTGCAAATAATGATCTCATTGGGAACTCAAAGGTGCTGCATTCTCAGTGATGAAACATGAACTTGTGGTTCAGGACCAAGGAACACCAGGTGGCATGTCATGGCTCTGTATGGGCGAGGATGAGGTGGTCTGGAACACCAGGTGGCATGTCATGGCTCTGTATGGGCGAGGATGGGGTGGTCTGTATTGTGGGTGGTCTGTATGGGCGAGGATGGGGTGGTCTGTATTGTGGGTGGTCTGTATGGGCGAGGATGGAGTGGTCTGTATTGTGGGTGGTCTGTATGGGCGAGGATGAGGTGGTCTGGAACACCAGGTGTCATGTCATGGCTCTGTATGGGCGAGGATGAGGTGGTCTGGAACACCAGGTGTCATGTCATGGCTCTGTATGGGCGAGGATGGGGTGGTCTGTATTGTGGGTGGTCTGTATGGGCAAGGATGGGGTGGTCTGTATTGTGGGTGGTCTGTATGGGCGAGGATGGGGGTGGTCTGTATTGTGGGTGGTCTGTATGGGCGAGGATGGGGTGGTCTGTATTGTGGGTGGTCTGTATGGGCGAGGATGGGGTGGTCTGTATTGTGGGTGGTCTGTATGGGCGAGGATGAGGTGGTCTGGAACAACAGGTGTCATGTCATGGCTCTGTATGGGCGAGGATGGGGTGGCCTGTATTGTGGGTGGTCTGTATGGGCGAGGATGGGGTGGTCTGTATTGTGGGTGGTCTGTATGGGCGAGGATGGGGTGGTCTGTATTGTGGGTGGTCTGTATGGGCGAGGATGGGGTGGTCTGTATTGTGGGTGGTCTGTATGGGCGAGGATGGGGTGGTCTGTATTGTGGGTGGTCTGTATGGGCGAGGATGGGGTGGTCTGTATTGTGGGTGGTCCGTATGGGTGAGGATGGGGTGGTCTGTATTGTGGGTGGTCTGTATAGGCGAGGATGGGGTGGTCTGTATTGTGGGTGGTCCGTATGGGCGAGGATGGGGTGGTCTGTATTGTGGGTGGTCCGTATGGGCGAGGATGGGGTGGTCTGTATTGTGGGTGGTCTGTATGGGCGAGGATGGGGTGGTCTGTATTGTGGGTGGTCTGTATGGGCGAGGATGGGGTGGTCTGTATTGTGGGCGGTCTGTATGGGCGAGGATGGGGTGGTCTGTATTGTGGGTGGTCTGTATGGGCGAGGATGGGGTGGTCTGTATTGTGGGTGGTCTGTATGGGCGAGGATGGGGTGGTCTGTATTGTGGGTGGTCTGTATGGGCGAGGATGGGGTGGTCTGTATTGTGGGTGGTCTGTATTGTGGGTGGTCTGTATTGTGGGTGGTCTGTATGGGTAAGGATGGGGGGGCCTGTATTTGGGGGATCCTAGGTCCCCTGCTATGCCTATCCTTTATATATAGTGCTCTATGCCGCTGTGTGCCTTATTGTTATAAACATCAAGACCAAATAAAAAACATTTTATATGATAAATATTCCAGCCCAGATCAGCTTTTTTTCTTGTTTTACAGAAGATCCAAACCTATCTGTATGCAAATGCTAAAAGATTGGTTGAATGTAGTCTCATTTCAAAAACCTTCATGTTGCCAACTCTACTTGAAAATTTCACATTTATTTTGTAAAAAACCAAAATGATTCTGTTATCATTTCTACAATTTTCAAAATATGAAGAATTATGCTCTTGTTTCTTTGTCATTTGTACCAATCATTCCATTTTCTTTCATTTTTCTATTTGTCAAAGAAAAGAAATAAGATAATTTGGCCTTATTTCATGGCATTCCCCTGAGTCAGTGAGAATGCAGTTCAGTTTCCCTCTGCTCTAAGTGTTAAGTCAGTGAGAATGCAGTACAGTTTCCCTCTGCTCCAAGTGTTAAGTCAGTGAGAATGCAGTACAGTTTCCCTCTGCTCCAAGTGTTAAGTCAGTGAGAATGCAGTACAGTTTCCCTCTGCTCTAAGTGTTAAGTCAGTGAGAATGCAGTACAGTTTCCCTCTGCTCTAAGTGTTAAGTCAGTGAGAATGCAGTACAGTTTCCCTCTGCTCTAAGTGTTAAGTCAGTGAGAATGCAGTACAGTTTCCCTCTGCTCCAAGTGTTAAGTCAGTGAGAATGCAGTACAGTTTCCCTCTGCTCCAAGTGTTAAGTCAGTGAGAATGCAGTACAGTTTCCCTCTGCTCCAAGTGTTAAGTCAGTGAGAATGCAGTACAGTTTCCCTCTGCTCCAAGTGTTAAGTCAGTGAGAATGCAGTACAGTTTCCCTCTGCTCTAAGTGTTAAGTCAGTGAGAATGCAGTACAGTTTCCCTCTGCTCCAAGTGTTAAGTCAGTGAGAATGCAGTACAGTTTCCCTCTGCTCTAAGTGTTAAGTCAGTGAGAATGCAGTACAGTTTCCCTCTGCTCCAAGTGTTAAGTCAGTGAGAATGCAGTACAGTTTCCCTCTGCTCCAAGTGTTAAGTCAGTGAGAATGCAGTACAGTTTCCCTCTGCTCCAAGTGTTAAGTCAGTGAGAATGCAGTACAGTTTCCCTCTGCTCCAAGTGTTAAGTCAGTGAGAATGCAGTACAGTTTCCCTCTGCTCTAAGTGTTAAGTCAGTGAGAATGCAGTACAGTTTCCCTCTGCTCTAAGTGTTAAGTCAGTGAGAATGCAGTACAGTTTCCCTCTGCTCTAAGTGTTAAGTCAGTGAGAATGCAGTACAGTTTCCCTCTGCTCCAAGTGTTAAGTCAGTGAGAATGCAGTACAGTTTCCCTCTGCTCCAAGTGTTAAGTCAGTGAGAATGCAGTACAGTTTCCCTCTGCTCCAAGTGTTAAGTCAGTGAGAATGCAGTACAGTTTCCCTCTGCTCCAAGTGTTAAGTCAGTGAGAATGCAGTACAGTTTCCCTCTGCTCTAAGTGTTAAGTCAGTGAGAATGCAGTACAGTTTCCCTCTGCTCCAAGTGTTAAGTCAGTGAGAATGCAGTACAGTTTCCCTCTGCTCTAAGTGTTAAGTCAGTGAGAATGCAGTACAGTTTCCCTCTGCTCCAAGTGTTAAGTCAGTGAGAATGCAGTACAGTTTCCCTCTGCTCCAAGTGTTAAGTCAGTGAGAATGCAGTACAGTTTCCCTCTGCTCCAAGTGTTAAGTCAGTGAGAATGCAGTACAGTTTCCCTCTGCTCCAAGTGTTAAGTCAGTGAGAATGCAGTACAGTTTCCCTCTGCTCTAAGTGTTAAGTCAGTGAGAATGCAGTACAGTTTCCCTCTGCTCCAAGTGTTAAGTCAGTGAGAATGCATACAGTTTACCTGTCTTCAAAGTGTTGTCTCCGTACTACCTGTAATGACATTTTATATTCAAGGTCAGGCCACACGTTTGTATTGTTTGGTTTATGGATTTGATAGGCCGACCCCAGAGGCCACAGACCTAAAATACCATGAGTTGTATTAATTTTTATTTGCCCAAGTGCTCCGTCTTTCAAATATTAGATAAATAAAAAGATATGGTTAAAAAAACATACAAAATTAAATTACCTATAAGCTTTTTTAAATACCGTATTCGACGTAATAAGCACCCTTGCTCTAATTAGCGCCCACGGCGATATTTGCTAATATATTGGCTAGTGAACAATCCCAATTAGCACACCTTCCGATTGATCAATGTACAAAAGACTTATCTCTTCGTGTATAATACGCACTCGTGTGTTATATGCACCCTTAATTATGGGCAATTACATTCTTGAAAATATATCTGTCGTATATAAACAGTTCCGGTTGTCAGTATAATCCACGAAATTTAAATTTCAAATCTGTTTTTTTCCACCAAAATAATATTCTAATAAGAGACTCCTATTTCTAATTTTGAGAGCGCCCTGGGCGCTGATTACGTCGAATACGGTAATATTTGATCAAATCCATTGTATGTAGCGTCTGGGCACTGCAAGCCTCTATGAATAGAACAAAGCCTTCAATGCAGTAATTACATGGAATTTTCAAATCACTTGACATCCGGCACTGAAAACAGTTTTAGCATTTATTTTACTGAACGTACTGACCTAAATAACTTCATGCCAAATACAAATTTTTTTTACAAAATAGAGCTACACAAATTAATCTAATTTTGACATACTCCTGTCAAAGCCAACAAAAGTCTGTAATGCCATAAATTAAAAAATGTGTGTCCTTTGATGTGTTGAAGTCAAGTCTGGATATAGTGATGAAATCAAAATTTGCCTTAATTCATCACTACAAACTAATTTCTGATATCTGGGGGATCAGACTTACAAATACTGTGAATATCATCGCTAAGTTTTAATTTTACTTGTGGAAAGGGTCAATCATTTGTTGACAAGTTGAGAAAAATCAGTTGATAACAAAGAATTTATGTGATTATAGCAAAAACTCTTATTACTGTCGTCCCTTGCTCTAACTTCCTTCACGATACGTACCGTATTCGACGTAATAAGCGCCCCACTCTAATAAGCGCCCACGGCGACATTTGCTAAGATATTGGCTAGAGAACAATCCCAGTTAGCACCCCTTCCGATTGATCAATGTACACAAGACTTATTTATTCGTGTATAATACGCACTCGTGTGTTATATGCACCCTTAATTATGGGCAACTAAATTCTGGAAAAATATATCTGTCGTACATAAACATTTCAGGCTGTCAGCATAAACCTTGAAATTTATCTTTCAACTCTGTTTTTTTCACCAATGAACATTCTAATAAGAGCCCCCTATTTCTAATTTTGAGAGCGCCCTGGGCGCTTATTACGTCAAATACGGTATTTGGCACAGCACTCTATTCTATGTTGGAGCTCATTTTGAATATAGTCAGGAGAAATTGTAAGTATTTTCCAATTTCCGTAACTGTAAATTCTGTTACTGCACGACACAAACACTTGATATATACTACTCAAAAGAAGTTAAAGAACTCCCAATTTATTTCATATGACTACAGTTAATCTGTCATTCTACCATGACATTGGTTCCAAATTAATTTAAGAGGTATCTACTCTACAGTGGGACTACATCAAATTTCAAAACACATTGGGTTTATCGCCAAAATGTTTTACCTTACCTGACGCTACACACTGCTATAGGTGTGGCGTTAGGTAAGTAGAAAAACAAGTCATTTAATCAGAATGCTCATATTAAGACAGATTAACTATAGTCCTTTGTAAAAGTTGGATGTTCTTTCATTTCTTTTGAGTAGTATAGATTGCAAAGAATGATGATTGTGTTGATTTTACACTTACTAAAATACTCAGATGGAGAATAGATGAGAAATATATTGATTATGAAAACAAATTTGAAAATAGACTTCCATGAGAACAGTATTACAGATGATGAAGGAAATAAAATGTGTCACTGGAGGTTCAATGACACTCATGATGTACCCAGTAACATGGTGACATGATTTATGCAACTTTTCCCATGTGTTTATCAGTAAACATGTGAAGATTGTGCTAGTTTTCTATGGTTTGAACACAGCCAGATGTCGACAGTGCTGTCAATAAAACAGTTGTTATATCCTAATGGTGTTACTGTTGTGTGTACCAGTGAGGTGACCCGTGAAGATCCGGGATGGAATAGGTCTTCAGCATCCCATACTTGCCGTAAAAGGCGACTAACGGGATCGGGTGGTCAGGCTCGCTGACTTGGTGGAAGCATGTCATCTTAACCCAATTGCGTGGAACCCGTGAAGATTCCGGGGTAGAATAGGTCTTCAGCAACCCATACTTGCCGTAAAAGGTGACTATGCTTGTAAAAGGCGACTAACGGGATCGGGTGGTCAGGCTTGCTGACTTGGTTGATGCAGGTCATCAATCCCAATTGCATGGATCGATGATCATATCAATCACTGGATTGTCTGGTCCAGACTTGATTATTTACAGACTGCCGTCATATATAGCTGGAATATTGCTGAGTGCGGCGTTAAACAACAAACCAACCAATTGCATGGGTTGATGCTCATGATGTCAATCACTGGATTGTCTGGTCCAGACTGGATTATTTACAAACTGCCATCTTATAGATGCAGCGTTAAACAAAAAACAAACCAAACCAGTGGAAGTGGAAGCTAAATGTGGGAGGAAAGGCTGAAGTGATGCAAGTCTTAAAATTTTACCACTGTGGTCAAACCCACAGGTATGGAACCGATAGACCTGAAAACATATTTGGGGCGACTGAAGTTCGAACCCACTGTCATAGATTTCTGGGATTCCCAAGTTGTCTAGCAGAGGGGGCAGAAAGATAAATAGCCCCTGTGGGGAATCAAGGTTAGAATAGCTCCCCAGCAACCTATACTGGTCATAGTAGACAACAAAATTGATCTGGAGGTCAATCTCATTAAAATCAGATCTTAGTTCCCGCTATAACAAAGATCTGAGGACATCCTATTATGGGTCACGTCAGAACCACCTTTAATCCGACCAATCCAAGCCTCGCTTACCAGATCATGAAAGTGACAGTCGGAAAGCGTTTTCCTATCATGCAACCTCGAAAATGTTAACACGGGGTATTCCGAACGACAGTTACGGCCCAGTTCGTGTTACGGCCCGTACGACTGATTCCGTCAAAATTATTGCCTATGTCTCGCTTTCATGGGATAAACATTTGAACGGAAGATGCGTTGCACAGTACGTGGGAAGCACTGCCATACAATCGCAACCATATATTGGACTTTCCCAAATGTTCGTTTGTTCAGTTTTCAAAATTTTAATCGACAACTGTGTCGACATAATTTTCAAGCGTAGTCTGAAATGGAAGTCGCTAGGTTGAAACGAGTGCCGTAAAGCTCGAGAAAGCTGCTTTCCAATTGGCTGATGTCATTTCAGTGATCGGTCAAAGTTTGCGAATGGTTGTTCTGACGTGACCCGTAATGGGATGTCCTCATATCTTTGTTTAGCGGCAGCGAGAACTTAGATCAGATTTTAATGAGATTGATCTGATGGTCAGACACTGTGACTTGGTTAATTTCATGTCATCATACCCGATAGCTTGAGATGTTGCTCATGATATCAATCACTGGTTTGTCTGGCCCAGGCTTAATTATTGTCAGCCTGCCCTCATATAGCAGGACTGTTGTTCATTGCGATGGTAAACAATACAATTATAGGGTAAATGAGAAATACTGACTGCATTTATGGAATGTTGTCTTTTCAAACATCATATGGGGACAGGTCTAAGGCGCTGCAATTCGCTGTGCAGAGTTGCGTCCCTTGGGC